ACTCTTGCAGGGCAAGTTCCACCTTCACGACCCGACCATGAAGGCCTCCAACAGCAGACTTTGTTGCGCAAGCAACCACCCCCGCCCGCACACGCCACTCCTCCAAGTGTTGTGGCTTCGGGTGCCGTTTCAGCGTCGCTTCAGCCCGCGACAAGCGATGCAGGACCTCTGCCTCCGACCTGTCCAAGCCGAGGCAGCTCGGCACGATACTTAGCGAAATTTGCTAAGTGTTCAACCAGCTTCTGCTGGTAGTGGAATGCGTTCGGCACTGGCACCTTCCGCACAAGGCGTGCCCAACAAAGACCATCGTATTCCCAAATGATCTCCTCCTGCAGTGGAGCGACCCGCACATTGGCGATGATCTCGCCACGGTACTTGCGCTCGCCGCAAACCTCAGCGAATTCCATCGCCGACGCATGCCACGGCCGCATGTCAATGAGGACATTGATGGCCACCTCGACGCCATCGAGGTATTGCCGCAGCAACTCGCTGCGTGGAGCTCGACACTCCTCCATGCGCGCATACTCTTCCGTGCTTCGAGCCAACACTCGCATTCCGGACACCACCCGGTCCATCGGGTAGTCCGCGTTTCCCACATCTGGGAGAGTCCAATCCGTGCGGATGAAAACATCGTCCGCACTAACCGAGGTCACCACAAAATCCGGCATGCTCCGCCGGTATGGTCGCCCTCGGTCATCGTCGCACCATCACTTCCGTGACGGAGAGCGTGCGCTCGGTCCAGAGCGCTGCTGTTCCGGGCTCCGCCACCATTGCCGCCGTCATCGGCGCCCCAGTTCGACGCTCCGAAGGTGCTCATCCTTCGCTTTCGTCGCTTTTGTCAAATGACTACTGACGACAGCGGTCGTTCCGAATTCTCCAACGATTGTTCCGAATTCTCAATCCCTGTCCCACGTTCGGCCAAGTATACCGAAATCAAGTTTGAGTGTGGAAGGATGTAACGAGGTCCGGATAACATCCGGATACGACATCCCATTGGTCAGTTCCAATCCTGACCCGACACTAGGCAATCCAAGTGTCTCGAATCATTTGCTCTGCGACATCCGCAGCAGCACCATTCATTTGACATGAATTGCATGACTGGCGCGCAGCCGCGCGCCAAGGAAACCAGCTCAGCGATAGCTAGTTCTCTCAGTTAACAATATACCTTGTTCTACACACCTTCCTCTGTGCGCCCCATTACAAGTCGGGTCAACGTTCGAACGGGCACGCCTTCCACGGTCGTTTGGAAGGCAACCACTTGCCTTCCAAACGACTGGAACATGATATCAACATATGAATGGCCAAGAAACACTCACACAAGATATATATACATACTGTATATATTTATATATATGTATGTACAGCACAGTCAATGCCAAATGCAATGTCGTGTGGACAAACGACTTGATGACATTATTCCGTAAATCCCTGCGACATGATGAGGTTTCCGTGGTGTGATGACGTGATCAAGGGTCGTACAATGTGGTAATGGTAGGTGGGAATGTCACGTTGACAAACGTACGGAGGAGGTTGTTTTCCAGAAATCTACACACTCTTTAGCCATTTCCAGCCATCCGTTGGACAGGTTGTTCGTACAAATCCTCCAGGAGGAACTTGGCCCATTCGGTCGGGTCAAATGACGTTATCAAATTGTGTCGTAGCGCCCTATACGTAATACGTCGTCACATCACTACTAGTAGAGACAACGCACACTCGGCGCATGGACGATGCTAACGACACATTTTGAAAGCCATGGGTTGGGTATCCTGTCAACGTGACGTTGGCCAGTCGTCTAATCGTGACGTTATCACCGATATCGAATTAGGCTGCCCTTTTCATCGTACAACGCATGGACGCCTTGGGGGATTATCACATTTTCCAGCACCAGCGCCTTCAAATTCGCAAAATCTCTACAACGATAACGTCATAAACACTGTCAACAAACTCCCGAATACTTACAAGTGATGAATGGGTGGCAAACTGTGCACCATGAGCCTCTCGGTGATGCCTTGAACCGCGATGCCTGGTGGAATCTTGCCGTTTTCTGCGACAGCGTAGAACTTTCATCGTGGACGGCGGATGGTTGCTTCTGTCGCAGGAACGATACTTCGCAGGTGGGAGGTGCTGACGCTGGAAGGAGCTGGGTCATGCAGCTCACCGTCTGGCCAGACCCCCGCTCGACGCACGCCGTGAGATGCATCGTCGACGTGCAAATGCCGTTGTGCTCCGTGGCGGCGGTGTCAAAGCGATCTTATCCTGGCGCCAAGTTGGTGCTGAGCTCGAGCACCGTGGACTCGTGCTTGAAATGCAATGCTTTAGCTTTCCATTGCTTCATGTAGGACTTGAGGATCTTGTCGTCTTCGATCGTAAGTATGGACGGAATGCCGAGCGGTGCCATTCTTGTTGTCGAATGGTGGGGCGATCGTTTGGAAGCGTGTCTGTGTCGAGTGCGCGCGGGTGTCAGGGGAAGCGTCGACTCCTCGTCGGTTTGTTCGGCATCTTCCTCGGCGGCGTCGTCCTCGGGGGGCAGAGTTGTATGCCGCAGTGACTTTGAGACACGGAAGCCATCGACGGCGTCACTATCCGTCGAGAATGGCGTGACGGTCACAATCACGACACAGCAGAGCCATCACATGAGGAGAAGACTCATCGTCGCTGCTACTTCACGGCTGTGTGGGGAGATCTGACGTATGTTGGCTGACGTGCCTGGCAGCCAGGTACAGCCGTATGTGAAGGTCCAACTGGTGCATCAGTCAATCCGGCTGGATGTTGGTGGGTTAGAATCAGGTGAATGATTTCGTCGGGTTGGTCACGAGGAAATATACAAAAAATTCGAAGTGAAAAAGGAAGCTTGGCATGTGAATCAGGTGTTGACGAGGAATTAACCCTTCAAAAGTGCCGGGCATTGGTAGTATTCCCACTTTTGGCATATTTGGTCATCATTATTATTCATGCGATAATCGGTGATGATACAAGTACAGTATCAGGCGCAGAAGGAGGTTCACAGACAGCAATACAGAATGGTAGCCGTCGACCACAAATGCGAACTGCCGCTGGTTGCATGTCCTAAGTGTAAAGCCGAATTACGTGCCTACTCGTGGCTTTCGTTGTGTACGAGTACTATGCAAAATCGTTAGCTTGCTTCACCCATTCGAATACGCGCTGTAGTTCGTTGAACGAACATATCCGACGCAATGTCCCTTGCATTAGGGATAGTACAATATGGCTGGCCCAACACTTCCGAGTGCGTTCTACGTTCATCTTGAGTGTGGCATGCAGTTTATTGCTGGCCATTAGCAAGCAAAGGATGAATCGACAATTTCTGATGAACCAGTGATATGTGCCACCTTCACCTCCTTTGTACATAGATGGCTCTCCTCCTCGACATGTCAAGTCGGTCGTTTCAACATGGACTAGTTCGTACGAACTTTATGCTGCGTCTCGAGCCACCTGCCGCCTCAGTTGACACGCCACGACCATGGCCGAGGGTCGGTCGTGTGGAAACAGGTGCAGACACTTGGTGATGAGCACCCTCAACGCGTCGGGGAAGGTTGGGGTGAACCATTCGACCTCTTCTGGCATCGCCCATCGGTCCAACGACGAGAGGAGTATGCCCAGGGCGTACACGTCGGCTTTGCATCGTCTGTCGCCAGAGCTTTCGTCATCACTCAGACGTTCGGGGGCGGTCCACACGATCGATAGGCGACGACGACGGCTGACCACACGGCGTAAATCGAATGCAAAACGAACAGGGCAATCGCCACATTCGCGGTAATGGTCATCTTGGTGGCGAGGGACAGCGGTCCGTTGGTCAGCAACATTTGAAGGTTGCACGGACATTGCTCCACCACGCGACACACGTCCATGACATCTGACCATGTTCGGGTACGACAGAGTCGTCAAGAAAGCTGCAACGATCGTCTGCGTGGGAGAACCGCTGCAGTACCATCGGACGGCGATTCAACGTGCTCGCTTGGACCTTACATCATCCAGTCAAGCCACTTATTTGCATCGTTGAACATTGTTGTACATCATCATGCAGAGGTGACTATGAACTGCGTAACGTTACTGTGAAATGGATGGACATCAGCGATCGATTTGAATGGAAGGACCAGATTGGTCAAGTCCGCCAGCCCCGCCAGCCACGTGAGGGGGTGCTGCATGAGGTGGATACTAGTACGACTAGTACCACTTGTGCTGCTTGTGGCACTGACGTCGGACCTGGCGCTGGCCGCCACGATAGTCGGATTGTTCACCACAGTCGTGACCCCACCAACACCAAACGACTTGCTGGTCATTCCTGCCTCAGTCGTGTACCCCCCCAAATCAACTCGCCAGCTGTCGAGACGACGATGTGTCAGTGGTGCTGATTGTGTCGCCGTGCGGTTGGCCGAGGTATGGCAATGACGACGTCGACTTGTCGAATGCTAACGTTACCGGCGGCTCGAGCCGGCATCGGAGGGTTAGATCGCAAGGGCTAGACCGAGCACGCACACGATTACGCCCGTGTTATGACGAGCAGCACAAGGTAGACTGTGCCCATGCCACACCATATATCCAACACACTAGAAAGTGACCTGGTTCAAAATGATGGATGGCGGAATACAGTACGTACGGTGGGACGACAATATTATCGACATGACTGTCATGTTGGAAAGGCTTCTCGAGCACAGAGGTCACGACACACACGTGATCGTACGAATGGTTTGCAGTACAGACAGGCGGTGCCACGTCAGAGGTTGGACATGCAAGTCATGTCCCCCATACTGGGGGACAGTCGAGCTAATGTACTGGGGGCCCCAGTACTGTTTCTATGGGGAGCGTGATGAGTGCTACAGGTATGTTGGCTAAGACTATCGTCATCACACAATGTGCACACCTGCGCCGCGAACTGTCAAAGGTCACAATCTCGAAATCTTGTAACCCTTCCCCTCGCCATGTTGGATAGCCAAACCTCTGGCAACCCAATAAGCTATAAAAAGACAAAAATATAGAAATAGGAAGGAATTAATGATATAGAATTAAATCTTCCTTAAAACGATAGTTATACAGTTGAAATGAATATTATTTCGAATTTATTTATAGAGTATATGTAATTATAAGTTGAAACACGTGGGGATGAGAACGGGAAATTCTCGCTATAGTAGGAACAAGCCATTGTTGGATTTCTTGCAGTCCCGACATCATGGAAGGCGAATCGAAGAATGACTTTGACTGGTTGCCCGCTGGCACGGAAGCTCTGGCCGATGGAGAGTATGAAGCGATCGTGCTTGGCACGGGCTTGAAGGAGTGCATCTTGAGTGGCTTGATGGCGACGAAGGGGCTCAAAGTGCTGCACTTGGACCGCAACAACTACTATGGTGGTGACTGCGCGTCGCTCAACTTGTCCAACTTGTACACCAAGTTCCGTGGCGAACACGCCGAACCCCTCACGGGACTTGGTTCGAACCGCGACTACAACATCGACTTGATCCCCAAGTTCATCATGGCGTGCGGTAAATTGGTCAAGATCCTGCTGCACACCAAGGTCACGCGGTACTTGGAGTTCAAGAACGTCGACGGCAGCTATGTGTACAAGGGCAGCCGCATTTACAAGGTTCCCGCGACTGGTGAAGAAGCGCTTTCGTCGTCGTTGATGGGAATCTTTGAAAAGCGCCGCTTCCGCGGCTTGATTATGTTTGTTTACAACTACGAAGAAGAAAACCCGGACACGCATCAAGGGCTGGACTTGTTCAAGCAACCCATGAGCGACGTGTACGCCAAGTTCGGCGTGGATGCGAACACCCAGAGCTTCACGGGCCACGCCATGGCGTTGATGCGCGACGACAACTACATTAATCGTCCGGCCATCGAGACCGTGCGCGCCCTCAAGATGTACTCGTACTCCCTCGAGCGTTACGGCAAGTCCCCATACATCTATCCTATCTACGGTCTGGGCGGGCTGCCCGAAGGCTTTTCGCGCCTGTGTGCGATCCACGGCGGCACCTTCATGTTGAACCGCGGCGTCGACGAAGTGCTGTTCAAGGACGGCAAGGCGTGGGGTATTCGCAGCGGCAACGAAGTGGCCAAGGGCAAGTTGATCATCGGCGACCCGTCGTACTTCCCCAAGGAAAAGACCCGCTCGGTCGGCAAAGTCGTGCGGTCGATCTTCATCCTGCGCCACCCCATCGCCAACACGAACAACTCGGAGTCGTGCCAGATCATCATCCCCGCCGCCCAGGCCAACCGCCGCAACGACGTGTACGTGTGTGTGGTGTCGTTTGCGCACTGCGTCGCAGCCAAGGACACGTACATTGCGATCGTGTCGACGACGGTGGAAACGTCGTCGCCGCTCGCGGAATTGGAGATCGGCGTGTCCCTTCTCGGCGAGTACGTGGACCGATTCGACGAAGTGTCGGACCAGTTGGAACCCGTGGGCAACGGTACCGTCGACAACTGCTACATCAGCTCATCGTACGACGCCACGAGCCACTTTGAAACCACGTCGGACGATGTGTTGAGCCTCTACCAGCGCATCACGGGCGAGCAGCTCGACATGACGATCAACGCCGACACGACGGAGGCCGATCAATAAGCCCAAGTGAGCGCGGCATGCATATACACAGCCTTGCATGTTCCTTAACGGAGTACTAATCCATTGCATACCCCCCCTCTCCTTCTTACGCACCATCGGATGTCATTCCTTCCATCAACGGAACCTGTGCTTTATACGAAACGTTGCGATATCTTGCAGAATTGGATTTGATTGGCCAAAACTCCGCCCAGAACCACTCAAATCTCCATGCTTTGTCGAGTGTAGGGGTAAATTCATCCAATCAGAAGCCTCTAAATTTGAATTTTCAAGCGAAACCAACCTGCGAGCGCGGAAATCTATTCTCACTTTATCATTCGCTCTCCATGGCCCAGCGCTCTTCGACCCGACTCCATCAAGCGCCCGGCGGACAGTCCACCATGGGCTCGTTGATCTTTGGCGGCGGCGACAACTCGGCCGACGAAGACCGTCCTCGCGGCCGCGGTGTCCGCAAGTTTGAAACTCCCGAGCAGCAACAAGTGGGCAAGCAGGAACCGGCTAACCAACAGCGCTATGGGCAACAACCGCAACAACAACAGCAACAACAACCCACGGTGGAATCGCAGAATGTCTCGTCCAACCGATACGCCAGTGGTACGTCGCAAAACACGGGCAACGTGATCACGGACCGCAGCACGACCCGCATCCACGCACCCCCTGGTGGACAATCGTCGTTCGGCACCACTTCCGATCAACGCGGTTCGTCCAACCGCTATTCGAACGGTGCGTCCCAAAACACAGGGAACGTCATCACCGATCGAAGTACCACGCGCATTCATGCACCCCCTGGAGGCGCGTCGTCGTTCCGACTTGGTTAGGCTTCATGTGTGTTCTGTTAGGATGATACCAATTTCCATAAACATATACAACGACCCACAACATGCACAACATCCATGTCCATCGTGTTGGCGTCGTCAGCATATGCCGGTTGTAGCGCGGCGGCAAAGTCAAAGTTGAAGTCCCACTCAGTCAACCCGGCATCCGTATAAAGTTGATTTATCCGGAATTTGTTTGCCATTTTCACATTTGACTTTTGGGGTTACATGATCAGACAAACAGCCTGCTGGAGCCGCCGCCGCGGTGTCCGATCACGGGGAGCGTACAGGACGCCTGTGGAAGCTGCTGCATATAGCACCAGAAAGAACCCCTTGAAATTCAAGTCCAACTACGAGAAGCAGATCATGTTGTTCGCAAGCGAAGTGTCTGTAATCTGTGGCGCGAACAAGTATCGAGAGATTTCCGACGTGTTTTTGGGTGTGTGGAAGCGGACGGACAAGGCATATGTGAACGAATTGGAGTTGGACTTGGCGCCGATGATTCCTGAAACGACAGAGGAGAAGGTGGAGCGTGTGGTAGTGGACGAACCGGAAGTGCAAGCCATCCTCAACTCACCGTCGCAGAACGTGGCCGAGGTCCAGCACAAGTTGAAGGCCATGCAAGTCCACATCGACGCATTACCCCATTTGACGGTGGCAGACAAGGTGGAGGTAGTTCAAGCGCTGCAGTCGACGCTGCAGACCTCGTTTGGCGCCGCGCAGGAAGCGCACGCAATCGAACATTACGAGACTCAAACGCAATCCAACGTGCAACAGCGCAACGCGAAATTCTGGAGCAAACGCGTCGGTCGCGTGCAGTCTGCAGACAGGAAGTACCGCAATGTCCTCGTGGGTGGTCGGATCGACGGCGTCAGCGGCGAAACCGTGATCGAAGTGAAGAACCGCATGCGAGAGTTCATCAACCCGTTGCCACGGTACGACGTCGTTCAACTGCAAACGTACCTGTACCTACTCGACTCGACGCATGGGGAGTTGGTGGAGCACGTCAAAGGCAAGACCAAAGACAAGAGCAAGACGACTGCGGTGGACTGGGACCCTGTGGAGTGGAACACCAATGTGGTGCCGTACTTGGCTCGGTTCGCGCATTCGCTGGATCGGTTCATGGATGGTCCAACGGACTTGCACCACAAGTTCCTCACTGACGACACCTTGAAGCGAAAAGAAGTCATTCGCAGCCTGTGGATGGACAGTCCTGCCGATTTCGATCAGTAGAGGGTTGATTTGACGCATACAGTAACTACTCATGACGATGTTGTTGCCGCGTTGTAGTACATTCAGTGACGTTGCCACAAACAGATAACTATCCGTCATGGAGATGATGCATGGACCTTCTCGCATGCCTTGTTCCTGCGTGAAAAAGTCCGCCGTGTCGTCCATGCATCGCCAGCCCCCGCCGCTTTACAGTTTGTGGCGGTAAAAACCGCGCCCGTTCGAAATTTAGCGGGAGAGTTGGCATTGTTCAAATTTAATCTTGCGTTTTGTATGGAGCGATAATATTTCTATTGGATATTGACATTGACAGGTCGTTTACAAATTTCAAGATAATAAATTGAATTGGCAATGAAAAATAAAACACCCACCAGGCAGCAGCGAGCGGCAAATTGATCTTGCCTAGCGTTACATGGAAGTGAGCAGACAGTCGATGGCGGGGTCCGGCGTTACGAGGTACTTTGCGCCGAAAGCAAGCAGCGAGAACCATGCAGATACCAATGGTAATAGTGATGGCTTCATGACCGAGTCACGGAATGGACACCGGAGGAGGTCGTCAAAGGGCAGCAACCAAGCCGAGCACGACAGTCCAGTGCGGTCAGTTCCTCTGGGAAGTCCGCACGACAACCATAATGCATCCCAGGCCAAGCGCAACACCCAAAGCCACATCTACGACCCAACGACTTCGTCAACTGGCGTGGTGCCATCCATGCAAAAGTGGAAAATGAGCTCGTCGTCGCGGCACACAGACACGAGCAGCGATGAACTGGCCAACGACAACGACGCCGACAACTATTTCAATATGGACCAGCAGTTTCAGGTGAAGTTGTTGTATTGCCGCACACCCGAAGACAAGGTTCGCGTGTACAAGGAGCACGTGTGTGCGCTCTTGCATGAGCTCGTGATGATCGAGACACACTCGGAAGAGCTCGAGTACGAGCTAAAGCTCAAAATCGAAGCCATCCAGCAGCTTCGTCAGAAAGTCGATAGCTTGACCGCGCCAGAGGCATTCCACGTACGTTGCCGCCATCATGGTCCCTCCGCTCCGACTCATTTCTTGCATCGTGTAGACGCTCCGGGAATTCGAAGACAGCGCCGACTTCACAGACAAGACCCGCGTGTCCCAAGGGGAATCGCACGCATTATGCCGAAAACTCGAGGCGGAAGTGCGCATCTTTCGGGAGCGCGCGACGGCGTCCGAAGCCACCGAGGCCAAGCTGCGCCATCAATTGGCCGCCAAGGAAGCCGACCTGGCCCACCTGTCTGAGGCCCATCGCCAGCTCCAAGCCGATTTACGCAACGAAGCGAAACGGCGCGACGAGTCGGACAAGAAGGCGGTGGTGTTGCGGGACAAGCTCGACGCGCTGCGCAGGTCGCCGTCGCTCCAATCGAGTCTGGACGACGCCCTGTCTCAATCTGCTCGGTTTGAATCGATGGCCGAGACGCAGCAAGGCGTGATACGTGCCCACGAAGCCACGATCGCCGCGCTGACCCGACAAGTCCAAGGCCACGAACTCACGATCGAAGCATCAGACGACCATCTTCGAGCGGCGTTGAGGGCCAAGGACGCCGAGGTGCAGGCCGTGACGCAAGGATGCCGCGACGAGCTCGAGGCCATGGCAGTCAAGTTCAAGCAGTGCGAACTCGTGCGACGAACTCTGCACAACCAAGTACGTCGTTGACTCGAGGAAGCAGTAAGTAGTCGGTCACCTGACACGACGGACGGTTGGTATACTTGTGTAGGTGATGGAACTCAAGGGCAACATCCGAGTGTTTTGCCGCGTTCGGCCGCATTTGGCTGCCGAGCGATCATCATCGTTTGGACGACATGTGGCAGACGAGGTGCGTTTAGCTCGCTTTGGTTGGATGGTGTCTGATTGGTTTGTACATTTGGGCTGTGTTTATGGTGGTGTAGGTGTATTTGTTTCCAGATTACGACAAGGACAAGCGACGCGTGGTACTCGTGGCGGACGCCAAGACACACACTAGCTATGCACAACACCACCATAGCTGCAGCACCAGCAGCAGTAGCAACGACAGCAAAAAGTGGGCATTTGAATTCGACCAAGTGTTCAACTGCAATGCCACACAGCACGACATGTTTCAAGAAGTGGCGGCGCTGGTCCAGTCGGCCGTGGACGGGTACAACGTGTCGATCCTTGCCTACGGCCAGACGGGGTACGCCTATGCCAGATGGGACACCATGAGTGAACCACAGAGTGTGCCAGATTGGACAGCATGAGTGAACCACAGAGTGTGCCAGATGGGACAGAGTGCGAGCGAGGTTGACGAGAATGTGTGTTTTGTGCTTAGGTCGGGCAAAACGTACACGATGCAAGGCGACGAACAAGCGCTGGCCGAGCACAGTCCAAACCAGTGGGCGCGTATTCCGGATTTGGGCATTGTGGGGCGCGCCATGGCACATTTGTTTGCCACGTGCGCCAAGCAGCGCGACCACCACGGATGGGAGTTTACCATTTCGTTTGAAATGTACGAGATCTACAACGACACGATCCGAGACCTCATGGCGGTGCCGCCGTCCAATCTGGCGGTACGTCACACCCATATTAGTTACTATTTGATATGTTGTCGATTTGATACATAATTGGGGAGGGGGTGCAATCGAATGACCAAACCGATCCACAATCGATCTGATTGGTTGTTGAATTTCATTGGGAAATGGGTTTTGATTGGCTAATAATTTTGAGGTCATCTGAGGTAGCCAATCAAATCGATTTAAATTCCAACAAGAAACCACAACACAATGAAATTTCACTTGAAAGCACAATAGTCTTTGTCTCTTTAATCCCAACATTTGGACTTTGGTGCGGATTCGCCAAATCGATCGATTCTTTGTCCTGACTTTTGGGATGTCAAAATCATCGTCAAGTGTCACACTAATTGATGTCACAATTTTTGTGGAATGGGTCGAAGCGTGGATTTGGATTGGCTACTTGATTATTGATCTGGGTTTTGATTGGTCGATCGATTGCTGCCGAATTATTTGGGTTTTGTGCTCATTCGATTGAGCACACACTCCAAGTTGGAATCATCAAGGCTTGACAATATATATATATATATATATATACCTCATGGTTGTATGGGTTGATATAGGCGAGTGGCGGGCACGACGTGACGCACGTGGCCCAGTTGGATGCCGACGGCCGCGTGCACGTATCCAATCTGACCGTGACGACTGTGCGCGACGAAGTGCATGCGATGCAGTTGCTCAAGCAAGCCACGAGTCGACGCTCCGTCAAGAAAACGAATCGCAATGACGTGTCATCCCGAAGTCACTGCATCACTACGCTCAAGTATGTCAAGTCTGTTGGTCGTTGAACGCTGTCTTTTGTATTGGGGGACTTAGTACAATGTTGTAGACTCACGGGGGTGCATCCACAGTCCGAGTCGGTGCGACAGGGTGCCGTGTACTTGGTGGATTTGGCGGTACGTGTAGGGAATATGTCGGGAATGATGGTGCTGATGCGATCGGGTGTATGTATGTATTGTCCTTTTACTCCAAATGTGGGCTTTTGTGCTGATTCGCCAAATCTATCGAGTTTTGAATTTTGGTTGTAAAAAGGTGCTTGGTATCACACTAATTGAATTCACACACTAATTTGACGTTGATGGTGGTGGTTTCCTGCAATCTGATTGGCTAAATATCCTTCTGCCGATGATTCTTGTGTACTTTACTTGGTTGTGTGTCGATTCATATCCAGAATACATACACAACAATATGTATCGATAAACGAACGATATGGTTAGGGATCCGAGCGGTTAAAGTCGTCGGGCAGTGGCAACGACCCCGTGATGCTCAAGGAAGCGCAAAACATCAACAAGAGCTTGGCATGCCTGGGCAATGTCATCTCGGCCATCGCGTCCAAGGTTCGAGTTGGCTGTTGTGAAGTTGCTAAGACACGAGTATATGTGTAGAAGGCGCACGTTCCGTTTCGCGACTCCAAGCTCACGTATGTATTGCAAAACACGCTTGGCCAAGACAGCAAGACGCTCATGATCTGCACCTTGTCCCCTCTCGAAGAACACCGCGACGGTGGGTCATGGTTTTGCTTTTATAATAGGTTGAGTAAGTAGGCTCATGTACATGATGATGGTAGAGAGCTTGAATACGCTTCGATTTGCCAAGAAAGTCAACACGTGCGAGCTGGCCGCTTCGAAATGAGTCGCATGTCGAGTGTAGGTAGTAGTTAGTTGTATCAATAGCCAACAAACGATAGCCCAAGTAATTTACCACCCCTTTAACTGGTTGATTTTGATTGGGTGGTTTTGCATGATTACATTCGCTCTTGCGAGTGTTGGTCAAGCAAGGCCACCACGGCGTCGTGGTTGAAGTACCGGGCAAACTCTTCGGCCGTGTGCCCGTCCTATGTGTTGTCAACTTTCATGCGACAATGTAACAAGACAGACCGTGTTGGTCGCTGTGACATCGGTGGAAGGATGCGCGAGAAGCAGCGCCGCGATGGCGTGGTATCCTTCTTGGGCGGCGACCATGAGCGGCGTCGCGCCGTTCTGATCTCTCAGTTGAGACGAGTGATATATATATATAGTGTACGTACCTCCTTGTCTTTGATGTTCGAGTCCACACGGGGGTGTTGAAGGAGGGCCTTTACCACGTCGACTTGGCCGCTCATCACCGCCGACATCAACGGAGTCATGCCGTGCTAAAGGCGCCACTTAAAACATGTCCATGACGATGTACTAGTGTCGTACCACGTCTTGCTCGTTCACGTCCACGTCTGGGTGCGCCAGCAGCAACTTGACAATGTCAACGTGCCCCCCGTCACATGCCAGCATCAACGCCGAAATGCCCAACTGCAATGATGACGTACACACATTTGATGACTATACATCAACACGGCAATAGAGTCCTTACGTCGTCTTGCACGTTGACTTGAATGTCTGGTTGACTAAGCAGTACGCGGACGACGTCGACTTGGCCCGTCGTGGCCGCCACCAACAGCGACATGCCGCCTTTCTAGTCGCATCCAGTCGTAAGAGGATGGCGATGTCGGGGGGTATGACGGAGTGTGAGAGAGAGAGACGAAGCTGTCGTACGTAGAGCACGGGTTGTTGCAACAACTCCTGGACCACTGGCATTTGAGATTCGTTGGCACCTACGATCCACGCCACCAAACTTTCCTACCCCCCCATATATGAGTCATCATAGTTTCAATAGTAGTGATTCATATATATATCTCTATATATGTATACTGTATATAATCGGCGGCTGACCTTATTTTGTTCAAGTTGACGCTGGACGTCAGGGTATTGCAACAGCAGGCGCAACACGTCCACTTGACCGGCGTCACATGCTTCGACCAACGCCGTGGCGTCATCCTGCTGACCAAAACACACAAGCAACTAAGACTCCTACTTTAGCAATCAAATATCCCACCGACGCTTGCAACGAGATGTCGATGGCTGGATGGTCAAGCAGAAGCTTGGCAGTGTCCACGTGGCCTTCGGTCGCAGCGAGCATGAGCGCTGTGGACCCGTTCTGTTCAAATTGCGAATCAACAACAACGAACAGACGACGGCGAAGGACGCACCAGATCTTGGGCGTTCACGTCCACCTCTGGGTGCTGCAGAAGCAAGCGAACGATGGCTGGCTTGCCGTCTTCGGACGCCATCATCAACGCCGTGGCGCCCAACTGCCATTAGGTGGTTGTGGGGTTAGAAAGTGTCGCTTGATGGCACCAGTCCTTACTTGGCTACGCTCGTTGACGTGGAGTCCAGGCTGCGTCAAGAGAAACTTGACGACGTCTTCTCGGTGGAGCAGCGAGTGTACCATCAGTGCTGTCCACCCATTCTACCCAGAGCTTTAGATTTGCCCACGACAGGGTACGTCCTACCGGGCTTTGAAAGTTGATGTCGATCTTGTCGTCGTTCGTCAACATGAATTGTGCGTCGGCGGCGGATTCGGCGACCATCAGGGCCGACCACTCTTGGATGTCGAATTGCGGCGCTTCCACAGTTTCCTGCTCGGTGGTGGTTGACAAGGCTCGAATGCGCATGGTGCTTGGCTTGAGAGGATACCCGCACCTGAACGCTCGAGGATGGCGGAAAGGTGCATGTAGAGCCATGGAACCCATCGGAGCTGCTGTCGGCATGCGTCGATGATGGATCAGGCGATGTCCAACGCGGGACGATCGCCGAAGCAACACAAGACTTGCCACGAACATGCTGGTGCGGATTACTGTCACCACCACTTCAACCACCATTCATTAAAGTATGTATTTCCATTCATTAAAGTTTACTTTTGGTTGTTGACTGTAAAGCGCTCAAATTTGTGACTAACGTTAATTTATTAATAAACTAATAATATTGAATTAATACCATAACAACTCGGACAAATATTTGCTGGATATGTGATTCGGACAAAATATG